TACAGCCATATTGATCGAACGAAAATTCGTTTTGACTATAAAGCCATTTGTTTTGTTTTTAATGCTACCAAAGGCCTGCCGAGCAGATGTAAATATCAAACTAAACCAAAGTTTTAAAAATACAGGCTAAAAAAAAAATCAAAAAGTTATGTGCTGGCCAAGCTTTCAGGGATCGGTCTGAGCCACAACAATGCCCCAGCCGATCCCTTAGTTCTCTTCCGGGGTCTCGGCGTCCCCGACCAATACACACTTCCTTCCCTGTCCATCCATAATCCATATAACCCCGGAGGGCCAGTCACCATGTAAAAGCAAAGAGCTAAGGGAGGAACAGGGCGGCCCCTAAGCCCTGATCCTCCGAGTGGACCAAATGCCCTGAACCTGTACGAAGGCGCCAACCTGGAACTCGCGGACAGTACCAGCAGCAGTGCTTACCGATTAAGCTAAGGTACTGTTGGTAATTTACGACGGGAAATTAAACGTCTTATAATGACTGAATAGAATGAGTGCGTTGAAAAGCAAAAAGACACCGACGGGATTCGATCCCGGACTCCGCGATTTGTGGACGACGAATCTAACCACTCGGCCATCAGGCTGCCTTAGAATTCTCCTCAAAAACACTTTGTCTTAATAATAGGTGGAGAAACGTGGAACATGGCTGTGTGAATCTGTTTTGGCTCCATGAACGAACAGAAGTCGGTATTTCGGGCAATAATGAGTCAAGTGTTTTCATTTCTTTGGAAAATTGTATACGGCAGCCTCGTTAGTGGTAGGCCAATACCTGCGCTAAACATGCTCATCGTTACGCAACTATAATATCATAATTATTAGGCCTATGTAGGGTTTTTGAAACAGGCATCAGGACGTGCGTTCAGGGCGGATCCACGAAATTTGGCGGGTGGGGTGTCAGTCCCGTTAAATGTTTATATCTGATCTATCATTATTATAATTGTTAGCCTGTACATATATTGTCTGTGTCGGAAAAGGGTGGGCAGGGGCGGGGGGGGGTTCGACCCCCTCTGGATTTGGACAGATACAGATTCTCAACTCCGTCACTACTACATCAACATTGTACGGACGTCTTTAAAAAGAAAACGATTATTGTTTTTACTGATTTGTTTGTTAACACTGTAGATCAGGCCTATATTCCGTTCGCTCTTCCCAACAGTCCTTCGTCAGCCTGTTATCAAACATTATTTTCGTGAAAAATTATGTGAACAGCAAGGTTTTATCCTTAATTAAAAAAAACCCGAATATTAAAATGTAGGCGAAAAGCAACATTACACCAGGACATCACATTACACTAGGGGTGCTTATCACGATACCGATGTACATCCTTTATGATAGCGCTTCGCTCGTACCCCCGCCCTGCAAACAGGGCCTATACACTGGACCGGGAAGGGCTGATGAGCTTCACGGAATCTCGCGAAGGAAGTGGGGATGGCATTCTGGGTAACTATCATGGCCTGTATAAAAAGGCTAATTGAAGATATAGATGCTGCAACTGTTTAAAGGGTGAGGGCTAGTCTGGTTCCCTGACCCATTGTCCTTTGGTCTTCAAAAATATCTTTAGATGGGGCCGGGAAACAGTTTAGGTGCAGGCCGGTAAATTGGTCCGAAATTGCCTACCCAGGCCAAATGACGATTTGCATGCCCTAAAATTCTTCAGTATTTGAGCATATTGTGGGCCATGAACTTGAGGGTTTCTTTCCAAAAAAAGGTGGAAGCCGTGCACCGAAACGTGAGCTTGTATTTCTGTACAATTTTTATGAAATTGGAGCCTGAAAAGCGCTCTATTAAGCAATGGAGTCATGGGCGTCGCCAGGATTTTTTCTAGAGGGGGGCAAACAATTTTTTGGCCAAAAAAGGCTTGTATTTCTCAACACATTCTCGATTTATCAGTTTTAGAGGGGGGCAGGGACATCCCCCCCCAACTCATTAAATTTACACCACTTTGTCTTCGCGCCTCTTTTCTTTTCTTTTTTTTCTTTTTCTTTTCTTTTTTTTTTTTTTTTTTTTTTTTTTTTTGCTTTTCCAGGGGGGGGGGGGGGGGGGGGCAAGTGCCCCCCCTTGCCCCCCCCCTCGCGACGCCCATGAATGGAGTGTAGGCACTGTTTTTCAAAATGGCGATGGGCCTCAGAACTATATTTTAAGGGGTGATGATATTCAGATGGAAATTTCTCCCAAAGTCACCACATTACCCCAAAAATTGAAAAGACGAAGAAAGATGATAAAAATAAGCTTTAATTTTGGTGTGTGTCTCGAACACCTTGGAGGGTTTATTTATTTATCATTGACGTTTACCGGGCAGTTTATTGCACCGATAAGGACACTGTTAAGGTTGCAGACCAGTAAATCGGTCCGAAATTGCGCCCAAAATCTGAATCGGGCTGATGTACTGTCATCCGATCACAGCAATTTCGAGCAGACAAGGAGGGGGGGGGGGGTAATTTGGGGTTGGAAGGAGCAAAAACTTAATTAACTCCCGTTGGGGGCGCCCTATAGCAAGGTAGCCGCAAACAGAGGGCCTGTTTTCAGGCCAGAAATCGCAGTCAGAGATTTTTTTTCTCGCAATTTTTGGATGAAATATGAGTCATCCATCCTTCCTCGTGCCGTACAAGTGGCTTGGGGGAATTTTTCAAAACCTCGCTTCTTTATAGGTTGCAGACCAGTAAATTTGAGCATGTTGTGGGCATAAACTTGAGAGTTTGTAAAAAAAAATATCGGTGGAAGCCATGCACAAGACTGTGAACTTGTAGTTTCGTTCAATTTGGATGAAATTGGAGCCCAAAGCGCTCTATTTTGCAATGGAGTGTAGGTATCGTTTTTCAAAATGGCGATGGGCTTCAGGACTATTTTCAGGGGTGATCATCTTCGGATGGAAATTTCTCCTAAAAATCATCAGTGCCCCCCCCCCCCCCAAAAGAAAATGAATAATGATGAAATAAGCTTTAATTTGATGTGTGTCTCGAACACCTCGAAGGGTTGTGAGAATTTTTCCCGAATTTCTGAAGTGGGAGCATTTACCATTGGGGTCTATGGAAGTTTATTTACTGGTCTGTAACCTTTAAAGCGGACACTTGTGGTCACCCTCGGACAGTAGGTGACGCTCTTCATCACTGCCGACTGACGTGACACGCCTTTTCCGACAGCCGATGTCGCCGGGCCCATTTTGCTTCGCGCGTACCCGCCTGGCTCGCTCTTAAAATCTGTAACTGGTTGGGCATTTGTCACTATCAGGCGCAGCTAGCCGCCTCCCCCCCCCACCCCCCCCCCCCCCCCCCCCCCCCCCTCTCTGTCCAAAAAAAAAAATCCCTAGAAACTCATGATAAAACATGTGAAAGCCCCCCCCCCCCGCCCCCCGCTCTGACACCCGAAAAATGTGTACTGGTAATATAAGGCAAAAAAAAGTCTCCAGTTTCTGGTATGCGCGCGCGTCGACGTAGCCATGCGCGTCGGCAAAATGAAAAAGGTTTTTTTTTTCAATGAAAGATGATGTCTCAAAACCGCCAAACTCATTGGTTTGACTGGAATCCTGCTGCTGCACAATTTTTAACGTGCTTTTAGATGGGGTTATGATCAAGAATACGCTTTATGTGGCCTCTCTGGAGTCCCATAATATTTGCACTAAGTTTAGTCGGGCACCATTTGCAGTCATCAGTCGTTTTGAAGCAAAAAAAAGTCCGGTAAAAAAAAAAAAGCTGCGTCGCCGCACCACTTTTTGGGAAAGCTCCATACCAGAAGCCGGAGACTTTTTTGGGCCTAATGTCCGCCTTTGCACAAAATACGGACAGAGCCAGCTTGGTTAGGGGGTATATGTACACTGTTCTGTGATCTAGTGTTAATAATCGACGAATTTGAACAGCGCCCCATTGGAAGTATGGTACGAGCCTCCCATTCTCCCTATTAATTGATTTTTGGCGCTGAATACTAGTCCGGAGAAAACAAAAACTGCCTACATTTTATTTTTTTTGTCGATGAACCCCCCCCCCCTGCGAAAATTCCTGGATCCGCCCCCGACTGTGCAACACCCCCCCCCCCCCCGTCCAATGCCCCGAGGTGGGTAAAATCGGTGCTAAGAATATCGGTAAAAGGAAGAACAAAAAATACCAAGCAACGCAGAACCTAATTTGTTTGAGAGATCATCAAAATACTGCATCGTCACACACACTTTTTCATGACAGTTTTAAAAGTTGGTATATAGGGCCCACGTGTTTTTTTCAAAATTTAGATTTTCTTTTCCGAGCAAAATTTAAAGGACTAGAATGTCCTGTAACTAATAAATTTGCTTGTTGTTTTTGCAGGCCTTTACACAGTTTTTTAAAGTTGGTTTCAAATGACACGCTCCAGTTCTTAAATCGCGCCCACTATTCAGAGCGAATTAGGAGCGTCCCGCTCTTCATTCGAAAGTTGAAAATAATTGTTTGGTTGCTTGATAATGGATAATGTTTCATGGGAGATTTCTGAGATAGAAGGCACCGCTTTTTACAATGCTATGACAATGAAATCAACCTAGCTACGTTGCCAGGGTTCTTATCATAGGGTGTAGGTAGGTAAAGGGCGGGGCGGGGGGGGGCTGGGCAGGTGGGGGGCAGGGGTGGATGTCACGGAGGGGGGGGGGGCAGCATTTCTGTTAAACCTGTTAACCATTGTAACTTAAAGGACTAACACATTTACAGGGGGCGACTTCATGGGGCTAGGATTCCCCCCCCCCCCCTTTCTACGCCGCTTGGCGGCTGGGTCACAATCGTTGCAGAAATGAAGCTGCCTTTTTATGTAATTAAGGGACCGGTCCTATTATTTTTTTTAGCAGTTTATGTGAACCCCACTAACAACATGGTCGGTCGGTTGCCGGGTTAGTCGGTCAGTCCTTTCATCGGACTGTCTGTGGTTTCCCGTCTCGCTCACGAGAGCTTACGAAGAGTTCCCTTTTGTTTTCAGTAATAAACATGAGACCGCTTCACCAAACAACTTAACACAATGCTACAAGGGACCATCAAATAATTCTTGTCAAATCATTCTTTATTTCTATTTCCCTGTAGTTTTAAGATGTTTTCACAAATCGATTGTTTTCAGCCATGCATCAATATTAACACTGTAGATAATATTATCTAAGCGTAAACACAAGTATGTTTAATCTGTCATGATACCGGTAACTTTTCAAAATCGATACATAAAATAACTGAGGGAAAATAGTTGAATTGATAAACACTACATTAGAAAAAAAAATGAATCATAATTAAGTGTTGTTATATGCTGTTTGACAAGATCGAAATGACTTTAAAACATACTGTCATGACAACTGAGCACAAAACTCGGCTTTGCACCTCTTTCGAAATTGATTTCCCGAAAATACAGTAAAAGCAAAATCTGAAGTCGTATATTGGTCTTTTGGTGTTATTTGTTCATTTTTGTTATTGGTTTTTTTTTTCAAACGTGTCTTTTTTTCCCGACACAAAACGTCATAGTTCATGCGCAGTTGCTCGGTACATTCTGTGAGTCATTTCGTTCTCGTGCAAGTAATAACTGACGAAAGGTAGAGAAAGGTCAATACGCTCTGAATTAAATCTCAACATCCCTAAAATATTTTCCAGAAATCTTCAGACCCATTAAAAGTAAATCTTTGTGTGTACCAGCAGAGTGACATTACTCGCTGGTTTACATACGATGGGCTAGGAATTCTATCTTGTCTTCTTTCGGAAACGAAGTCAGTTTGGACTTTTTTTGTGGCAACACTAAGATGGGTGTTCTTAGTCATTTCAAGGGTGCTGAATTCGATTGTGCCTGTTGTGTTGTGTTGATGGTAAGTGGCACCCAAAGCGTGAAAATGCTCTAAAAAAGCACTCCAGTCCAGTCAAAACTCCATCTATTAATTGAATATTACATTTTCACTCTAAAACGTCTGGTCTCTATATTTTGTCACCCCCCAAGGGGTTCGTTTTTTTTTTGGGGGGGGGGTTAAAAAGTTTACGATATGACCGCTTTGATATGTATGTGACCTATTTTGGAGTAGTATTATAGGGTTGTAAATGGCGCCACAAACATCGAAATGCTCCCGTCCCCTTCCACCACTTTTATTTGTCTGCAGCCAAAAAAATGGGCAACATTTAAAAGAAAAAAAATCAAACTTATACACAAAATTATTAGGCCCCCCAAGCGAAATCCTGGGTACGCCACTGACTGTTGAGAAACACGAGAATAGGCAATATTTTACTTTTTTAGGGCAAAAATGTACCTTATTCTGAAGCACTAAATACGTAAAAGGCAGCCATTTTATTTTTTCCCCTCGGGATTAAATGAAGTCACTACTTGAATTAAAGGTTTTAGTGATGCGACAAATTTTTTTGAGGAACACATTTAGTGCAACTTTCTTCTCCTCTTGAAATGTATGAAAACTATTTGACATCCCTGTTTGGTTAATTGTATCTAAAATTGCATTTCTTTAAACATTTCACATTGTCCATGCTTTTCCGAACAACTAAGGGTGCAGTTGCTGTGATGTCATTTCAGAGAGACAATTCCAATATGGGTTTTTTTCTGTTGAAATGGTGAACCCAAAATTTGCTTATTGAAAACATTTCTGAGAAAGGGTTGATCGTTGGCTTTCTGCCATGTACTTACACAACAACGATTTACCCCCCCCCCCCCTAAATGACGATACCAAAATATCCAAAATTCTAGCTGTTTGCAAACATTGGGGTTTCTGCATGCCTGGAATGACATTACACATTTGCTCATGAATATGGAAATTTGTATCAGCATAACAACAAAAAGGCGCCTAAAGTGAAAAGGACATTCACAGTGACAAAATAAGCTTAAATGGGACACAAAGTTTTATTTTCTAAGATTGCATTGGAAAAAAATTGCCGCACTTCATAGGCCCTTATATATTTTCCCCATCACCCTGGACCCAAAACCTGGATAGACCTTATGCATTGTGGAAGTCTTCAGATGGTATTTTTTTGTTATTTACGATGAATACACAAAGATTTACTCTTGCCTGTTCCATAAAGATACAAAACCAGTGCCCTCTAATTTCGCCTACAATGACAAAGTTACTACATCACGAGGAGCTTGGCGACGAATGCCAATGCGAGGAGTGCCGCTAGAGGGCGCACCGCACTGCCACTGTTGCAGTTATCGCCGTCGCACATACACAGTTTGACAGTGATCTCACTCTGACCGGGAATTAAGTCAGGAAACATCATCAGAACTAAAGCGACCGAATCCGCACCCTCGTAACACTTATTCTCGTACGTGATTGGAATCTGGTAGCATGATCTGAGTGTTCCATCCTTGATGTCAACATCAACTCCGGCTGAAAAGGAACCAGACGAAACAAATGAGACACGAGTCGTGAATTTGAGGAGATTGCAGTTTTGTTTATTAAAAACACTCTGATTGGGTTGTTGGCTATTACATGATTCGTTGATGAACGGGGTTTGGGTAGTTCACCCGTATGCCTGCGGCTAAGCACTCTTATAACATCCTGTCTTTAAAGTCTCGGTGCAATGATTAGGATTTCAGTTCCTCTATAAATATTAAGTGAGAATCCCGAACACCTTCCCTTTTGGGGTTTCTTACGTTTAGGCCAAAAAAAAAGTCTCCGGTTTCTGGTATGCGCGCGCGTCCGACGCCGTAGCCATGCGCGTCGGCAAAATGAAAAAGTTTTTTTTTTTCAATGAAAGATGATTGTCTCAAGACCGCCAAACTCACTGGTTTGACTGGAATCCTGCTGCTGCACGATTTAAGAAAATAAAACACGAACACAACTTGTTGCCAGGTAAGGAGCTGTGAGATAAAGAGAATACTTTTTAGGGACCTTTGTGTTTACCTATGTCAATAAACTAAATAGCATGAAACTTAATTAAACAAGTCAGGTGTGTTTACAAACACAAATGCCCCGCAACCGTGACTGTTCCCATAACATAACACCACTCTTTTAACATCAACTTACACGTACCGTACCTTGGTCACATGGAACGTTCATTGACAGCATTAGTGTCTTCTGTAGGTTTTATATGAATTAATCCCTAATCCCTAGAATCTCAGAATAAATACAAGATTTTTATTGTTTAAGCCACTGTGACCTTGACCCTTGACCTTTCGACCCCAATGCGATAGGCCTATTTGGATTACCAAGAACGATCCACAAACCAAATTTGAACTTCACATGTGAAGAATTTCTCAAGTTATCGCGCTGACAAAATTTCTTTTGTTTTAGCCACTTTGACCTTGACCCTTGACCTTTTGGCCCCAAATGCAATAGGCTTCTTAGGATTGCCAAGGACAATCCACTAACCAAATTTGAAGTTCATATGTAAAGTATTTCTCAAGTTATAGCGCTGACAAAATTTCTATTGTTTCAGCCACTGTGACCTTGACCCTTGACCTTTCAGCCCCAAATGCAATAGGCTTCTTAGGATTACCAAGAACAATACACAAACCAAATTTGAAGTTCATATGTAAAGTATTTCTCAAGTTATCGCGCTGACAAAATTTCTTTTGTTTTAGTCACTGTGACCTTGACCCTTGACCTTTCGGCCCCAAATGCAAAAGGGTTCTTAGGATTACCAAGAACAATACACAAACCAAATTTGAAGTTCATATGTAAAGTATTTCTCAAGTTATCGCGCTGACAAAATTTCTTTTGTTTTAGTCACTGTGACCTTGACCCTTGACCTTTCGGCCCCAAATGCAAAAGGGTTCTTAGGATTACCAAGAACAATACACAAACCAAATTTGAAGTTCATATGTAAAGTATTTCTCAAGTTATCGCGCTGACAAAATTTCTTTTGTTTTAGTCACTGTGACCTTGCCCTTGACCTTTCGGCCCAAAATGCAAAAGGGTTCTTAGGATTACCAAGAAAATCCACAAACCAAATTCGAAGTTCATATGTTAAGTATTTCTCAAGTTATCGCGCTGACAAAATTTGTCCGGACACCCACACCCACACCCACACATATATGCATACAAGTGGGGCACCTCCTTTAATTTGTTCTCGTGTACTAAAATTTTGCAACGTCGCACACTTTGTCAAAATGTTGCTCTTGTTTTAACCATAGTTAATTTCCAGGGCTGAAATTCGCACTTAATATCCCTTTTCTAAAGTTCTTCCATTTGCTACGGATCAACCCACCTTGGAAATTCCTAGTTTTTGAATAAAATCTATATATCTATTTCGTGAAAAAATTGTGGGGTACCAAAACGGTACCCCGCAAGTCGGTGGGCATTCCTTGTGGGGTACCTCCCATTGTTCCGGTACCCCACAAGGCATTGTTTGTACACGCACAACAGAAAAACAAAGACCATAGACAAAACCAAAGGGTGGTGGGTGTTAACACCAATCATCACAAAAAGTAAACAATCGATGGGCATCACAATCAGCACTTCTTCGGGAAGATTTTACATTAAGTTTGGTATTTTGCTGTTACAATTTTTTTTCAGAGATGAGGACAATAATGGAGGGACTGGGAACCAGTCTAAATTGCGCATATCATTGCGTGCGTTGGGTTTTCCCCACTGGTCTATTTATAGCAAGCTAAAGGTTGAAAATTGCGTATTAATTCTAGAAGGTTCTAGCCCACAAACGTAGTGAACGAGTCGCCGGAAGGAACGCTTTGTTTAAATGTTTTCTTAAGCACAAGAGAAAAAGGAAAACAAGGGAGGTCGTCAAGACGCGTCTCCAGAAGAAGAGTTTACGTAAGGCCCCCCAAAAAAGTCTCCGGTTTCTGGAGCCGTAGCCATGCGCGTCGGCAAAATGAAAAAGTTTTTTTTTTCAATGAAAGATGATGTCTCAAAACCGCCAAACTCACTGGTTTGACTGGAATCCTGCTGCTGCACGATTTTAACGTGCTTTTAGAATGGGTTATGGTCGAGAATAAGCTTTATGTGGCCTCTCTGGACTCCCATATATTTGCATTAAGTTTAGTCGGGCACCATTTGCAGTCATCAGCCGACATTTGAAGCAAAAAAATCAGGAAAAAAAAAAAGCCGCGTCTCCGCACCACTTTTTGGGCAAGCTCCATACCAGAAACCGGAGACTTTTGGGGGGGGGGGGGGCCTAAGTAGATATTTCTGAATTCTAGCTTAATTTGTTGTTGCAAACGCTAGTGTTGCACCTTGAACTCATGATCTCCAAGGAAAATTTCGACGAGGACTTTCTGCCTACCAAACCCAACGTGCATGGTTTTCAGCAAAGATCCTATATATTTCGGCCCGGGAACACAATGACGAAGATCGTTTTAGCATTTTCATAGCGGCACACGGCTGGACTTTGCCTGGGTTTTGGTATCGACTAATATAAGCCGGAAAAAGGGTGTTGTTTATTAATTAATAACTCAGGAAGCAGGTTTTTCTGCAAATTTTTACTGCATTACTTTTTGAGGCTTGAAGCGATTGACAGATAGGGGGCCTCATTGCAAACACCAGTGTTACAACTTTTAAAAATGCACGTAGCCAGGCCTATTTTTTTCTTCAAATTTTAACAAAAAGTAATGAACATACGACAACGATTTTTTTGCACACCAGTATAAGGGAAATAAACCCTGGAAGTTGCATGACGATACGGTCTTCCAAACGGGAGAAATTTACTTTCAAAAATTTTGCCCGCCTGGGTGAACACATGGTGTGCATGTAGTTTCATTGAAAATAAGGTGTTATGTTTAGAAATCGCCCTTCGCAACCATATGGCTGATTGAATGGACTTCAACTTTTTACTCAACATGTCTCATACGGTTTGTACACGAAGACATGCCGAGGACTTAGCTCAGGTCCGCGGAGATCATGTTATCGCATAACCCACAAGCTCAAAGTACCTCGAAGCCACAAACTCGAATCGACAGATGTCTGCTACGCGTGCGTACCCAAATATGTATTTGGGAACTAAAACAGAGATCAAGTCTTGGCCCATGGTCGACCGTTGTTAAACTGTCCAGTTTCGGTGACATAAAACTTAATACATGTAGCAGGATCTGCCGAATGAACTGAACTGAATGACCATTATTTTGAATCAATTAATGATCAAGTTAATGTTGAATGTCCTAGGAAGCATTAATTTTAAATGGCATTGAATGAGCCAGAAACTTTTACCTGTGGTTTTCCCCTTAACATTTCCTGCAGCTTTTACGCACTTTGCGTTGTACAGTGTTGCGTCCTGGCAGGATGATTTGCCTTTGTATGTATCTGGAGGAGGGGAGTTGGCGCAGTCTGCCTTCATCGTGTACTGCGGGTCCAGTGGTATGTTAAGTCCTGTTGTGTTGAAGGTTGTACATTGGTAACAGTTCAGTGCTGAAGCTGCAAAGAGAAAAATTCACAGAGAATGAGGTGTGAACAGCCAGAATTCACTTGTTATTTTGTGATAACTAGCGGCATACCGGTTGGAGTCATATTTGAATGTTACTGTGACCTCGATTTGCATGTTGACCCCAAGTGGGCGTGGTAAATCTTGGTGAAGCACTTTTGCCACAATTTTTTCATCATCAACGTCATGTTTTGCGCTGTAGCGACCCGTTTCAGAGTGTTTCATAGAGACAATTTTGTACATATTTAAAGGGAAAATACAACATTTGCAAACATCAAAAAATAAAACTGCCAAATCATTTTAAAATACCTTGCTGGACTGTTAGTGAATGACAGTGTAAAGCATCCTGTAAAATCATGGCACCTGGTATACTGTCATTTTCAAGAAAAGTGGTATTTTTGTATCAATTTCCAACGCTGATCGGCCTACAGCGTTGGAAACAACTGGCTTTTTTTTCAAAAACTGGCCCCAATTGACCATCGCACTTGTTTGCAATCGATTACAAACCTATGAACGGGTCACGAGCCAGTTAGACTGGTTCCCTGACCTTACAATTCCCCAATGTATGTAAACTGCTCTGTTTCTTCTTATATGGAGTCAGGGAACCAGACTACAGGAAAATGATCGTTTTTCTTGGTTTTTATAGCATTTTCGAACCCAAAACCTAAAAAAAGTCAGTGTAACTATATTTGCTTTATATTCCCAACCCCCCAATTCCATTCATTTCTGAAAATTACAGCAAAAGCAAATGATGTATATTCCCTTTAACATTCAAAGTCTGCAAGAAACAAATTTACCAACAAAGCAAAACAATGCAACAGTTTTTTTTGGCACGTGCCAACCGTGCCAGAGAACGGTGAAATCGGAGCACATGTATACCATTTCAAGAACCGTTGATATAACCTTGCATTATGTGCTTCCACACACTCTTTATGCCTTTTACAAGAAACGGGACACGCACACATCAGACAGGACATCAGACAGACAGATAGCGTGGTAAGGTCTTAATATGGACTAGATTTACGAGGCCAGTTTGGTCGTGTTCCCTGAATGTATTTCATAAATTGTGAACTGTTGAATGTGATGGTGCCAGACTATTTATATACTCTAGCCTCACTTTCATTTTTTTTTTAAATGTGGCTTAAAACATTAGGGTATATTAATCACAAATTTTGATTTATTTATCGGAGCAGACTGGTATTAATTTGTAATTAACTTTATGTCATTGCTTTCATTTCTCTTCGCAAATTTCAAAAATGAATATTTTACTTCGCTTTCAATTTCATATGGCCGACTCGTGAATAAGGCCCATAATTATTAATAATAGTACGGAATATCTGTAGTGCAGAGGGAAAAACGAAGTATACATTTTGTTCGCAAAAGTAAAGGACTACACGGAAAGTCGTCAGACCTGACAACATTTTAAGGGATGCTATTTTCGAGCTAGACCTACAACCCGAAAATAAATTGCTTTTTATAAAAAAAACAACTTCAATTGATTCAATGATATACACTTGGGAACACACAAAAATAAATCAGGCAAAGAGTGATTGAATAATTACTTGACAAATTTTGCATAATTTGTTTGGCCCGACAATTATTTCGGTTGGATCTCTTTGTGCGTGAGTTGCTCAAAACAACATTTTTTCCCAGAGGGTCGAAGACGCCAAAATCCAAAAATACGGTGTTTTTTTTCGTTCAAATAAAACCAAAAAACCAAATTTAGAACATGGTACGATTGAAAACAAACAAACTTTCAAGGAGAACAAGGAAAGCAGCGTCTTTGAATTTTTGGCGCGAAATTAACGCTGCATTAAAACCCTGCTAATTCGATAAAATCGGTATGGAAAACCATGCAATATGTAATGAGTTAGAAAAGAGAAACCAATTACATTCCTTCCGATCACTTTCAGGCTAAATGTTCAGATTCCTCTGGATTTGGACGATTTCATTTTCGCCCTTCCCTCATCGCGATGAATTTTTCTTCAGAACACAATTTGTGGAACTTTCTACATCCTTTTTTGGTCAATTTTATTGAAAAGTACAATTCCTTATAAACGTTAAAAAAAAATTCCCATGCTTTTAAGGACAACTGCAAGGGCACTGTTGCTGAGATGTCATTTCAGGAAGACACTGTTCAGTTTAGGGGTTTTCTGTTCATTGTAAACACTTGTTCTAAAGGGCTGCCCATTGGCTCAATACATGCCATGTACGCAACCAGGTGCGGATTCAGAGGGGGGTAACCCCCCCCCCCCCCCCCCCCCCCCCCCCCCGCTCTAGCAAAAAAAATTAAAACAATTATAGTAATACTAATTTATGTTATGTCGGCCTGTCCGAAACAATCGAACATAAAAATCTGACGGGCCTGAACCCACCCCCGCAAAAAAAACCGGATCCAGCCCTGGCAACAATTAATCACCAACAGAAAAAAAGAACATTTACCACAGCAAAGCATCCGAAATTCTAGCAACTTTTTGAGCCGAAATAGTTGTAACATTGAGGTTTCTGCCTGGATTGACATCACAGTTTTGCTCATGAAAATGAAAATTTGCATTAACAGAAAAACCAAAATACCCTTCAGCAAAACAAAAAAGGAAAATAAGGTTAAATGCGACACAAAGGTGCATTTTCAAGGATTGCATTAAAAAAACAATTACATGACATGGGCCCTTCAATTGGCCCACTACACCTGTTAAAATGCGCTATTAGGCCAAAAAAAAAGTCTCCGGTTTCTGGTATGCGCGCGCGTCGCCGTAGCCATGCGCGTCGGCAAAATGAAAAAGTTTTTTTTTCAATGAAAGATGATGTCTCAAAACCGCCAAACTCACTGGTTTGCCTGGAATCCTGCTGCTGCACAATTTTAACGTGTTTTTAGATTGGGTTATGGTCGAGAATAAGCTTTATGTGGCCTCTCCGGACTTCCATATATTTGCACTAAGTTTAGTCGGGCACCATTTGCAGTCATCAGCCGACATTTGAAGCAAAAAAATCAGGTAAAAAAAAAAAAAAAAAAACCACGTCGCCGCACCACTTTTTGGGCAAGCTCCATACCAGAAACCGGAGACTTTTTTTTTGGCCTTAACGTGTTTTTTTGTAATTTTAATTTGGTTACAATTAATGAACAAAAGGTTTACCTATGCTATGCAGGCGATACAAAAGCACTGCCCTCTAACTTAACTCTGCCTTAGTCTTCTTCGCATCTTTCCTTCTTTAAAATTTCCTTTGATTTTGTTTTATGTAGGCCCCCTACTAAAATAAAAGGAGAAAGAAAATAAGTGAAAACCGACTCACCCCTCTGAACAGCCACGGCAAAAATGACCAACAGCACGATAAATTTCCCTCCTGGAAAAATTACAGAAAAAGTTTTTTTATATATCAAATTAATAGTAAATTCTGGTGCGGGAAGGTCTGGACCACTTTCATTACCTACATTATTGCGCGTCGCGTATTGATATGATTTGAACTAAAATAAAATTGCACTATTCCAGATTGTCCTAAAAAAGGAAAATAACCTGTAACTTCTAATGTTTTCAATTCTGTCTCAAAACTGAGGCATACGCGAAGTACTTAAAACTTACCCATGTTTTTGTTGCTCGTAGGTGCGATGTTTATTGAAGATTATTGGTTGCATGGGCAAACATGCAGCAAGTAACGATTGGAGTAGGCGAGACCCAATTTATAGGGACGCTACATTTTATGGGCGGGCCACAATTCACAGAAGTCCAAAAGTCGTATTTGCCGATTATTTTGTTAGCCAAAAACAAACACAATTTATCATCACAAGGCTCCAAACTAGACTGGAACAAAATGTTAAAGAGCGCCTCAACTCACATAACTCATCCAATTCAATACCAAGCCCACACATGCATTACACGCTGCCTGAAATAGACAGGGTGACTAAAAAAAAATGAAACCCTGAAACAGTTGCGTATTTTTTTCCAAAACGTGATCTGTTAATGTTTATGTTTTGGATATCAGAGTAAAGCTGAGGGTTTTTCTTTGAAATACAGGGAAAAAAATCATGAAAACAGCACATTGGGTTGCTGAGAAAATGCCAAAAATAAATAATAAAAATTTACATATCTTGTTTATGAAAAAAAGGCCAAAGTTTCAGGGTTGCATTTTGTTGGGATCACCCTGTGTAATATCAAGCATTCAATTCTCGGAAGGAGTCAATAATTAGATTTTCATTAGTTAAGCACTCTTTCGACAGTATGTTTAGTCAAATTTAAATAGTTCTTACATTTAAGTTCATTTGATTTCTTTAAATCAATGTTAATATATTTCATTTCACCCATTCGAAAATGTTCATTACCGTGGTCTGTGTTCTCATATTCTTATTTCTATGAAAGGTGTTTGACGGAGATTAACGGTTAACGAGAAAAACATCTCTCTTTTGAAACGATTTTAATATAAACATGGGGGGGGGGCGTATAATAAGTCAGACGCCTCATAGGTCCAACGCCTTATAAGTCCGAAATTTCGGACTTATGAGGCGTCGGACTTATGAGGCATAAAATTGATTGATTCCCCTTCATAGGCATAAGTCTGACGCCTCATAAATCCGACAACGGAAAACGAGGCGTTTAATTTGTCGGACTTACGAGGCGTCGGAGCTATGAGGCATCGGACTTATGGACCTTTATTTGGTTAGGGGATGCGATTTTGTCGGACTTATGAGGCGTCGGACCTACGAGGCGTCGGACTTATGAGCGGACCCCAAACATGGCGCCCAAGTTTGACTACAGATGAGTGACTATTGTACATAGGGCCGATTGCTGAGATAGAGAGCAAAAGAGTTTGAGAAAAATCGTTCACTTTAATTTACTCAAAAAGTGTTTTATGCTTGTACACGTTTTTTTCCAATAGTGAACTGATGATGATTGGTTTCGATCTTTGTTTCGATCTTTGTGAACAAACAGACCAACTCCCTCACTCCCAAGGTTTGACACCACTTCACCTTGATTTATATCGCTGTAAGTGTACGGGATACATCATTTGACATTTCAGCTTGGTTACATTTACGACTCACCAGAAACATTACAAGGGTGTTCAACGTTTAAAGAGGGGGACTTTGGAGCGTTTCGGCTAATAATTAAACGCGCAAGAAGTGGGTCTCTTTCATGAATTTTATGGCTGATTCATGTACCTGCTCTTACCACATACAAGTGAAACCAGTCCTATAAAATAGTTTATTTCCAAAACGCAATATACGCCATTTTGTTCCTTTTTAGAATCCTGCTATCTTCCGGCTTCCCAAAGGCACAATCGACAGCTGTTATATACTTAGACACAACTTAAGAATAAAAAGGCGAAAATGAAGTTTAGACACGGCTGTTATACTGTTTTTGTTCATGTAAGTTTCATAAACGTGCAAATGTTTCTCCTTTCTCAAGATGGAAACACCCCCCCCCCCTCTTTGGTGCAGGTCATTGTGTTACCAGAATATCAGAATGTTTTTAAAGATATCTAGGGGCATGTGTTTGTATAGGGTATAGGGAGATTGTGGGGGGGGGGGTACCCCTTCCTCTGTCACCTATCATGCTGGGTATACTCCAAAGCACACTTGTTAAATTAACATAATGTTATAATGTTCCTCTCACGCAAAAATATTCATTTTAAACAAAGAGATCTATACTTGTTATTCATAAAGATGTTTGCATATACATGTAGTTGTAAGCCCCTTTGCCGTTAAAACCGTTCTTGAAGGATACATTGAGAGTCTCGTGATTTGGGGATTTTTGAGGGTTGACAATATATTTCAATGGGTAAAGTCAAGAAATCTTCCGTTGCCATCCTCTGTTATGAGTATGCTGTTGAACTCATGGATGGTTTATCAAGTCTATTAAATTTACGGCAGTCGAAGATGTTGAAAATTACCCGATATCTATAAAAAAACAAAAACCAATGAACACACTGCTACTGTAATTTGCTAGTCTTAATTTGTCAAGTTTTAATAAGTCAATCAAATCAGCAAATCCCAACATCCATAAAGTCTGCTCAAACAAGCTACATCGAACAAAATGCAAAAAAAAAAGAGTTTCCATTTAAAATTTTAAATAAATAATGCATTCTTCAAGGAAACATAAATCAATTTTTAAGAGATTTGATAATGTGTTCTGGTAGCGAGTCTGGTCCGGCCCTTTTTGGCCTTCAAATCAAATAAATTGGGGGAAAAATACTAAAACGTTTCTCCTGACAATGAGTTATTCAAAACTAAAAGAAGGTAAAAGTTTTAACCAAGTCCATCACAATTCAATAGTAAGTCCTGTAAGAAGTTAGGTCACAAACACAGGGGGTGAACAATAGCCCAACAGTTCGAGCACGCTGTGTCTCATACGTAACGAAAGTTTAACCCTCCAAGATATCCATGGATTTCAGTGTTTTTTTACTCTACTATTGTTTATCTGCAAGGAGAATACCCACAATGGGCCCTATTCACGAGTCGGCCATATTGAATTGAAAGTTAGGTAAAATCTTAATTATTTTCTTACCTTGCGAAGAGAAATGAAAGCAACTTAATTTATAATCAATTCCAGTCTGCCTCAATAAATAATTTTTAATTTGTAATTAAACATTCCCGAATGTTTAAAGCCATATCTAAAAAAAAATGACAGTAAAATAAGGGTCCATTGTGCCTGCATAAATAATCTGGCGCCATCCCATTCAACAGTTAACAATTAATAAATACATTTAGGGAATTCAACAAAAATGGTCAACTCGTGAGTAAGGTCCATAATTTGTATGTTATTAGTCTTTGCCATGATTATGTACTGTATCAAAGAAAACATAGTGTTACATATGGGACGAAAATGGGACCTTTTCTTGGGCTTAACCAATAGACCATTATCATGTTGCGGCCATGTTTTTCCCATTCGAATAAACGTAACCAAAGCGAAGCTGGATGGAAAAATAGTCTGGTTCCTTTTTGTACAAAAAACATTATCATTCAGTACTGTTATTGGATACAGGGAACATGACTGAAATGGTGGCAGCATGATAAAGGTCTATAACAAAGAAGTGCCTTGGTCACCGTTCATTGGAAAGCTTATTGCTTGACTTGAAACCAGTGTCTTAAAGTTGACCTAATAATGCATTGTAATGAAGTTGACACAATCTGATTAAACAGTGGAAAAGTCTGGAAAAGTCAGGATATTAATAGGACCGTTTTACGCAAAAAGGACTACAGTTTATTTGAGATGGGATACAATTAAAATTAAATGTCTTGAGTGATAAAATTAATTTTGTACAAACACTGAATGCATTTGGGAAAGCAAAATCTGATTAAAAACAAATCTTCAACCTGCCTAACCACTCCATTTCTGATATGATTTTGCAGGGTATTGAATCTCTTGGCCATCGCAAGGACTCAGTTCGCCTCAGCAGAGAGAAAGTGTGGATGAATCGTCTTCGAACTATTCAACCACATGGTCTCAACATCCAACTTGGAAATGATTAATCCTTTTTTTCCTCCATTGTCTTCTGTTACAGATAATCCATCTGGTTTTCCTTGTTTGTGTTTACCCATCTTCCCCCATCTTTCATCCCTTTCCACCTCCATACTGTTCCCCCCCCCCCCCCCCCCGCATCATCCCTTCACTCCCACACTCTTTTGTCCGTTCCCACTCCCTGTGACCTTTGATCCTTCCCCTTTCTGGTCCCTCCCCTGTTCACACCAGACCCCTTGTGGTTTGCCATCTCCCTTTGTTTCTTTGTTCTCTCATCCACCCTCCCCTGCATCTTTCTACACCTTTCCCACTTACTCCTCCTTTTGTGTTTCTTCTTTCAGCCCTGCATGTTTGTGTGCACCCCCATGTTAATGTATGTACCTCTGTCATTTCTGTTTTAGCCTCTGAAGAAGAACTTGCTAAGTTCGCAACGTCAGGCCACATTAATTTTAAGATTTAAAAACAAATCTGGCAACACCCTGTTTCACTTAAGAGGATAACTAAAAAATTCCCACTTTTGAAAATGACGAGATACACATTTAAAGATAATGAAAATGTTCACATTTTGATTCTTTGCGGATAAGCCTATTCTACGCAGTTTAGATTTCAATAATTTTTGTTTCTAATTTGAGTGACACTAATTAATTATACCCTTGAGTTTAATATTCAATGAGAAATCTTTCAACAAAAAAACAAACAAAACATACACCAGCTTAGTTAAAGACACCCCCATTTTAATAGCGGATGCTTTCTCAATGATACAGATGAGCTATTGGCCCATATATGAATATCCATCCGAGATCATTCTAGTCAAGTTACTAAACATGTCGAAACCCAGCAGATGATAATAAATATAATACACAGCGCCTTGCTAATAGGCATTGGCGGTGCCGACAGACAAAACACGACTGTCTAGTGACATGTCCACAAGTCTAGTAGGAAACTGGCAAGAAGTCCATCACAACCACAGAGCTACATGTATATTAAATTACTAGAGTGCTAACTCCTCATTCTTACGCGTGGAGATGCTTTGAAGCCGTCCTGGGCGCAGACATTTTGAATTCCTGTGCCTGTTTGTAGAACATAATGAAATTGGATGGATTGAATTTGGAAAGTGTACTCTAACTGCAACGTGCAAGTAGAACATACGCAAACAACTTAAGCGCGTCACGACGGTTTTAAAAAAAAGTCACGGTAATCATCTGCAGCAGAGACACGCATAATTGGGCTGTTAGCGTATAGCAAAATTAAACGCTCATGTGCTGATCGTGCGTTTCGGTTTTGGGCGTTTCAGCTTCGATAACGCACCTGGATAGAATACAACTGCAGATGCAAATAGATGTGCAAAAGACGTACAAAATTTCAAGTTTCCCATACGTTTGTGCACAAACATGAATGCGCCCAGCAGGCATCATTTTGTACATGAGTCAGCGCTCTAGTAATTTAATATACATGTAGCTTATGATCACAGCACTAAAGCCTAGTTTCTATATCGAGTTAAGAAATGCAGAGAGCAATGCCAACAAGACCCAAACTGCAACAGAGACATATGGAAACATTTCATCCGCAAATGTCACCGACAACCCAGACAGATGCAAACTATCTCGCAGACGATCGACAAAGTTGAACCCGGTTCAACTTTGCCGACGATTCCGCGTACTGTCTGCGCAGTCCGCATAAGCTTAACGTTGATATGGAAACCAGGCTTATAACTCCAACTCTCCAGGGGTTTTTGGTCTAGAAACCCTGCCAAACACAGCAACATGCAACACTTGTCTAAGTGACACGCCTGCCCAGTGTAGATCCATCAGGTCAAAAGTCTCAAGGCCTAACTGCCTCAGAGTCTGTGGTCACCGAATGCAGCAGGATACAACTGTGGCATTGGTCAATGGGATTAGCTCTCATTGTTTCAGAAACTGGCCGTTTATACACTCGTGTTGGTAGCTGAATGCATCAAAGTGCACCAGACTTTTCCACCTGATGCACTGTGTTGCGTCTGGCAGGGTTAGGTTAAGTGACAGTCATGAAAACGTACCCCCTCATCACAAACACAGCCTACTGATTACTTGTCTATGCTGCCCTGACGGTCCATGGAATCCCGGAATAGCCGACGTGGAGTCTTGTCCTTAGACAATGGGTCTACCTCCAGAGGGGTCTGGTCCAGGGAGCACCAATCAGGCACCCGGCCAAACTTGAGATAGGCGTCCTTGGTCAGAGACCTGTAGCTGAGGATCTCCAACGCCCCAAATATTGCACCTACAGGAGTCGAATCGGAAACAGGGAGGAAAAAATAGACTTTAAAATAATGAGGCAATACAATACATTACGGAGGAATGCCGCTATAACAAACACTGCAGGATCCACAGAAATTGTTCGTAATAGCGATCATTCGGTATAGCGATTTTAAGCTGCGGGTGCTCCGGTGCTCACTTTTCAATAAATAGCGCCCTTCATAACTTCACCCTGCACGCCTTGGTAGTTACTGAAAGACGACTTTGAACACGTGCCGACTACTGAATTATGTCATTACACAGTTTTGAGCTTAATACCTACAGCAATGGGTGGCTTTCCCCTTCTATTCCTTGGGAAAATAACAGCCACTTATCACTCTTCTGTCGACAATTTTCAACAACAATGTTCGGTGCGTTAGTACACAAAAATCAGGAACCAAGGACGATGTTCGGTACAGCAGAATGTTCGCTGAAGCAGTGTTCAGTTTAGCGACTTTCCACTGTACATAAGTACACAAACTCAGACGGTTAAATTGATGGTCAAACATCAGCCTTTTCTGTGTTTTTGTCAGAAGAAATGTGGAATGATAAGTCAAATTTTGTACTATAAGTGCATTCTGAGTTGGTGAAGGCATTTGACAAGTCTGCATGCGGCACCTCAAACATGACTGTGCTACCAGTAGTTCAATTTTTTCACTTAAGTTTTATCTTCTGTAAGCCCAGGTTTGCAGAATTATTTTGATGACTTAAAAATACAGTTTGGACAATGAAAAGCAAGAAACACACAGCTTATATTGGAATAGGACTTAGACTGAAATGTTTTCGACATAATTCAGGCCCAGGCAGTGTGGGCTAGTGCTCTGAAAACTCAACTACAACTGTACGTGTTTTGAGCATTGTTGATGTTGCTAGCATCATGACTTAGGGCGTGATCCCTGGCTACATGGCATATATACGGGTTCGGGCTTGTGACTAGTGCCCAAGAACAAAGACATTGGCAAACTGGGGAACCGCCAACTAAGGGCTGGTAAAGCACTGGTGGGGCAATCCGGAGGTCGCAGGTTCAAACCCTGTTCCAGTCAATTTCTTTGTTCAACTTTCAAATTTTTGTTTCAGATTTCAAAGGGATTTTTAAAAAATCCTGCAATGAGGAACAAATCCTGACAAATTTCACCCCTCGTTCCACCATTCCAGTCTGTTAACATACATATGGTCAGGTAGGCAAGGTAAGGTCCCATAGCCATTTCTGGCCGTCGGGGCAGTGGGATGTTAGAGGTCCACTGTGTCTTGGGCGCAGCATATGAGTGGCGGGGCCTAGTCCTCTCCTCTCGCTGTCTTACCTTCCCTGAACGATTCAGGTACCCATTTTACTGTTGGGTCGTCAGAGAGAGTTTTCCAGTTTTTGGTCCGAATGGGATTCGAACCGCCAACCTTCCACTCCGTAGCTCCATGTTGTAACCGCTTGGCTATGAGGCCCCTCTATACATACGGTCAGGTGAAATATTTTAAGGCAGTAGCACTGTAGTCCTGAAGAATACACAATTTAACCAGAAATTTGAGCATCAGAACATGTTTGAATGAGTTATGAGACCCTACTCACCTCCCAGCCATGCAGTGTAGTTAGCCTGCGACGGCGGATCGTGGATCTTAAACTTGCCCACCGCCAGCTCCTCCTTATACCGTGGCTTCTGCAGGAGCTCCCTCAGCTCAGCCAGCAGGCGATGGTTGAAGCCCTGCAGCATGGATGTCCCCCCGACGGTCACCAGGTTACTGGCAAGGGTCCGGCGCATGTCAATCGGACACTGAGGAGAATAAACAGATTCTTATGAGCTCCAAGCATTTAGCATCCCCTCATCAACGGTTACAACAAGAAAGTTGCAAGGGACTGTGAGGGACTCTTGCAACTACCGGTTTGGTTAACCCTAACAGCCATGAATCCTTCAAAATCCTTTGCCAAAGTGGAGGAATTTGGAGGATTGAAGTTACATGGCAAAAAGGCATTACTGATTTTGTAAGATGCACTTGTCAAGGTCTTGGGCCGGACCTTGTGCTGTTTTTGCTCAGCCATGCGGAAATTTGACCTAGATTATGCTTGAAATCCTCCGTATTGCTCCAGCATGTCGAGGGTGCCACTGGCCAAGCCTCAACATATTGAAAGTCACTGCCGCAGGATTTTGCAGGATTCAGACAGTGGTCACCCCTCCGAGGACCACATTAAAGAAATAATGGAGGAATTTGCAGGATGAGGCTATATGCTATTATTTCCATGAGGCCAATCGGAAGATTTTGCAGGATTGAGGCTACAGGGTTTTTAATGAACCTGATGCAAAAAAAATGCTACAGGTTTGTGTACACTTAAAGTTATAGTAGATCATTTGCAGCTATCCAAAAGAGTTACTGACCAAATTATTGTTTATTAGTCTTTTTGACGAGTGCAAGTTTGGGTTTACGTACCTTGAGAATGGAGTCTAAGATAAGCGTCGCGACCGAGGTTTCCTCGTTATCTTGATCAAAGAGAACCTCGCAGGCCGTCTCTCTGATGTCTCCGCTGATAGTTAGGATCTTGCCTCCATCTAACGGGTACTCAACAGCTGCAGGAGGAGCGGGCCTCTGGAAGAAGGGAAAGAAGGACATTTTAAAGGCATAAGTATCATTTGGCTCTTCACTCTTTTTTGCTCGTTTCCAATAATAACACCAATCAAAATGAAAAGAAGAATGCTCAAAACCTAACCTAACCTGTTGAAGTTCAAAAGGTATAGTCCATTATTTGCAGAGAAAAAGTAACTGACGTAAATAGTGTTGAAAATCTTATTTGGTTTAAGGATAGTAATGGGGCTAAACTCCCTGTGAAATTATTCTTTCTGGCTAGCTGTCATTTTGAAGAAATCAACGAAAGATGCATCGTTGGAAATTTCAGTTAGGAGTTTGTTTTTTTTATTCGGTGAAGCGCGCAAGCGTTGACACGACGCATACGTGCGCGCGGTTGCTAGAATACGTCGGTTCAGTGCGCGACATCATGTAGCTGCAATCGGCTCAAGGAGAACGTGTCTCAGACGCTGAATTCAGGCCTACATATATTGTACTTCAAAACATGATTCAGCAACTTTTGATATGAAATTGAGTTCCTAGAATGTTGTTTTTCTCAGAATACACAGCTGAAGCTGATCTTAAACTTCATCAGGTTAGTAGTTCAGCACCCTTCTTTAGATTTTGAGTACGTTTGTTGCTTTAAACGAAGCACAAATTACAAATGATGGACTGTACCTTTAAGCGGCAGTTTGTAAGGGTTGCCACAAGGGCATACATTTAAGCCGTAGTTAGCACCTTCAATATCAGAATTTGCAATAATCGAATATATCGGAAATCCAATATTGAGAATATTTGATCTACTATCCCATGTAAAAGTTAAAGCCCATAAAGATGACAATTTGATTAAAAAAAAAATAAACAAGTTCAAGTCCCAATTTCTCTGGAGCATATTGCTCAAACTTTTTAATACAAATCTCAGCACTGAGAGTTTGTCCAGAACAGGCAGTTTCTTTTGAGGTTTTACATAAGGAGACCGTGAGTTCCAGCAAACGCAGAGCACAAAGGGACGCCCTTTGGCATTTTGCGCTATTTTTAAACGTTAAACGCAAACGTTAAACACAAAGAAAAAGGGCAAAACAGGAGATTTATTTTGACGATAATCTGACGCCTTTTCAATATCATTCCTCATATTTGAAAATTTCGATATTTCGATATGATTAAAAAATTGCCATCGGCGATAGCGATATCGTGGTGGGCAAAAGATTTTGCCAAAGCTGACAAACACCCTCATAATATACAAAAGAAGCATTGTTATTAAAGAAATAGTCCATCATTTGTAATTTGTGCATTTTGTTCGTTTGAAGCAACAAAAGTGTTCACAATCTACTGAAGGATACTGAACAACTAACCTGGTGAAGTTTCAGCTCAGCTACAGCTGTATATTCCGAGAAAAACAGCATTTTAGGATCTCAATTTCAAATCAAAAGTTACTGAATCATGTTTTGAATTGTTTTGAATTGCAGCTACATGTATACGCGACGTCGCGCACTGATCTGACAAATTGTAGCAACCACGCACGCGTATGTGCATTGTACCAATGCTTGCGCACGCTTCGCCGAATAACAAAACGAACTACTAATTTCAATTTTCCTACGGTGCGTCTTAAGACGCAACGTTGGAAAGGCCTTCTTTCGTTGATTACTTCAAAATGACAGCTTCCCAGAAAGAGTAATTTCACAGGGAGTTTAGTTCCCTTACTATCTTTCAACCAAGTTTGTTTTTCAACAATAATTACGCCAGTTACTTTTCAGATGGCTGCAAATGATGGACTATAGCTTTAAGTCTTTGGGAGTGTTTGTTGATATTCTGTATTTTCAACAACCCTGTGATACAATGTACATACATGCGGAAACATTAACATGGTATACCTATTTCTCATATTTGCAACGCTGAAATTCCATAGTTTGCCAATCCGTGATTCACAAAAAGCCGACCATGGATTGGCAAAGGTTAATGCAATGTACAATGTACATCCTCTGATGATGACAGCTAATACGGATTTACATGTAGGCAATTTCATGCTAAACTTCAATACTCATTCCTAGACTTCCTCGCACCTTGTTTTTGTTTATTTTTGTTTGTGTTTAAAGGTATAGTCCATCATTTGTAATTTGTGCATTTTGTTCGTTTGAAGCAACAAAAGAGTTCAAAATCTAATGAAGGATACTGAGCAACTAACCTGATGAAGTTTCAGCTAAGCTTCAGCTGTACATTCCGAGAAAAACAGCATTCTAAGATCTCAATTTCAAATCAAAAGTTGCTGAATCATGTTTTGAATTGTTTTGAATTGCAACCATACGCGACGTCGCGCACTGATCCGACGAATTATAACAACCGCGCGCGCGTGTGCGTCGTTCGAATACTTGTGCGCGCTTCGCTGAATAACAAAATGAACTACTAATTTAAATTTTCCTACGGTGCTTCTTAAGAATCACCGTTGGAAATGCCTTCTTTCGTTGATTACTTCAAAATGACAGCTTCCCAGAAAGAATAATTTCACAGGGAGTTTAGTCCCCTTACTATCTTTCAACCAAGTTAGTTTTTCAACAATAATTACGCCAGTTACTTCTCGGATGGCTGCAAATGATGGACTCTACCTTTAAAGTAAATAGAGAAGAGCGATATCAGAAGTACCGGTACCGGTATGTTGGTTGTATTTCCAATATTTTGTAGTTTTATAAGTACTCAAATGATAATGCAAGTACCGGTACATGTAACCAGACTTTAGCCCTCTATCGTTTAATACTAAAGTTGTCTTCCATTTGTATTACTCTAGTTTATAATTCTGAATATTCTGAACAAACATACATGTACAAAAACATGCAAACTCAATGGTTATTCATTTACCAATACAATATGTACTTCTGAAATTTCGATTTTGAAATCATGCCAGATTTCTGAATGTCAAGTTCCAAAATGCCAGCGTTTTTAAAAATCCGTTCAAATTCGACAAATTTGTAGACTTGTTTAATGTATAAAACCACGTCTTTTGGCTTTATTTCCCCCACAAATGAAACAATGAAAGCCACAAACAAATGGTGTAACAAAGCGGTCAGACAGTGATTGTGACAAAAGTCTGTTACACTGTCTCTGAGTGACCAGAAAACTAGAGTTTCTCTCATGGTCACCCCTGTGGCCTCGTGGTTAAGGGCACTGATTCGTGGTCTGTGGGTAAAGCTGCAGGTTGTGGGTTCGAGTCCTGGCGGGGTCATGGTGTGTGTGCCCTTGAGCAAGGCACTTTGTCACTCATTGCTTCTCTCCACCCAGGAGTAAATGGGTACCTACGGTATGAGGGCAGTGATGGTTATTGTGATTGAATTAGCTTCCTTGCGCCTAACAGGCAGCATCGAGCTGTATACTCCCCAGGGAGCTGAGATGGTATATGGAATGTTTAATTGGCCCAATGATTAGGGGTAATAATAATGTAAAGCGCTTTGATCTTAGTTAAAAGCGCTATATAAGAACCTGTTATTATTATTATTATTCACACAGTACTTCCAATGTACAGTTGAATCTCGTACTACAAACTCTGTTAATACAAAATTCTGGTAAGAACAAACAAAAAGCCTTAGTCCCGCCTGTGCATTTATGTGCACAATGAATGGGACTGATGTTCCTCTTAATACAAAATTCTGATATAACAAACAATTTGGCTAGGTCCAAACGAGTTCATATTAACGAGATTCGACTGTATATAGAAATAACTCAACGGTCTACATGTGTATGTATATCTTCTGCTGTATCATTTTGTAGTGTGGTTAGGAATGGAAACAACAAGAAGTGCACACAAGTTTTGTGCACGTCTTCTCCACATGCATTTTTGTGCATGTATCCTCTCCGAATTTCGAGTGCACATTCGACTAGTCAGTTCAAGCATAAATTTATCCAGCCGCATATTCCATGATTTTATGGGAAACACCAACAGATAATCCATGAAGTCCTGAAAATGTACCAAAAAATGCTGACTTATTTTTACCAAGTTTAAGAAGGACAGCAATTTGATTTAATTTGAAATTACCTTGAATAGGGTTATGACTCAAATTTTATAAGCTTGGGCTGCATAAAAGAAAATCAATAACTGCAAAACACGCATTGATCAGCTTTGAACGCATTAGAAGGACAGTGCCATGGCAACAGTAATTTAGTGTTTTACTAAAAAAAACAATGAAAGAGGGACGAAATTGCAAATTTCAACGACAGTGAAGGTAGGCCAAATATCTAGGCAGCCTCATATTGATCCAAATTTGGATAAAAGGCAACACAAGCCGCGTGCGCTTCATGATCCAAATTTGGCTAATAAGCAACAACTATAGCCGTGTGTGCTACATAACAGTCACTTGGTTAAAATATGTACCGGTATTGTGAGAGGTAGCTACAATTGCCAAGGGTGGGACTCAGAAGTAGCCAATGAGCAACTTTCCTTCTGCAAAATAAGAAATCTTTCCTTCTGGAAAAATGTTCGGCAACAACTTCAAAATCTTCTTATGCTGGTTTTTGATACAAGGGATTGTTGTGATCACCGTTGATGCAATTTGCCAAACCTGTTCAAAAGAATGGACACAGTATGGCCAGTCCTGCTACATGGTTCCTTCTCCCAAAGACAAGAGAGCCACCTGGTCAAACAGCATTGAGAAGTGTCGAAGCCTCGGTAGTGGGCTGGTGGTGCCTAACAGCATGGAGGAAAATGACTTCATCTCGACGATGCGCCATTTGGAAGTGGATGGGGTGAAGAAAAACATCTGGCTCGGCTGTCTGAAAGGGGAAGAACAAGGCTGGCAGTGCGGAGGGGATGATGGGTGGGATGTCCAGGCAGCTGATGGCAACACCATGTGTGCGGTCCACGACCCTGATTTCAGCATTAAGTGGGAGATGGAAGGCTGCAACGAGCGGAAACACATCCTGTGCGAGCGGCGCTTGGAGGCATGCACCCCATCTCTGCGCTGCACCGCCGCCAACAGCGTCAATGCCGACCAACACCAACCCAGATGTCTGCTGGGCCTCGCCTACAAGGAATTGCAGAT